CAGTTATTTGTTTATGCCAGCAGCCTGTTTTACAGAGCATAAAATCACCTATGACATTCAATTGTGTTGCAGACGTCGCTGTAGACCACCCAGCATCGCTCGATTGTTTTATAATCAAATATATTACACTTAATTTAATTTATTCTTATAACCTTTAGACTTTTATGATACCAACTCGTACGTATATAAAAGTATATGAAATATCCAGAAACGCATGCACAGTTTAGTACCAAACGCTATTGGTGCATAGAAATGAGAATAACTTCGGTTAATGGTACATTTTAAGGGCAATTTGAAATAAATGGCGACAGGCGACAAGGTTCTTCCAATTGAGAAACTGTTTTAACCCAGATATGCCCATTCATAAACATTTATTAATAAAGAGCACTCTTTGAGCCTGGTGGGGTTTTTTTGTGATAAATAAACATGTTCTACAAAAAAATTAAATTTATTATTGGAAAACTGTTTTTTGTTAGCCGTACTACATAGAGAACGGTGGGCATATAGGCAACCATCTAATTCGTTTTAGGTGTGTGATAAAGCACGAAACACTTCACATGTAATCCTTTATCATACTTGCTGCATCTAGTCATGGTCTTATCATGGCAGTGTGCACACCTGGTCTGTTTATCTTGTGGTATAACCAGATGATCTGTATGATCATGGCGAATATCTATTCCTTCTTCCCTTGACATATGCCCTCTTGATGTGGTTTGTTTTTTGTTTTGTAATAATAATGCTGTGGCTATTCTCCTCCTAAATCCTAACTGGTCCAAGTTACCACCTCGTCTTCTGTGTAGTTGCCAAGCATTCTGCACTGCTGTGTCTATGAAGTGTGTAATGAGTGGAAAATACCACTTTTTACCTCTTATAGATATACGATAGAGACTGATGTTCTGGTCGTATCTATCTACACCCCCCATATTCGCGTTATACAGATTGATCAAATGCGGCTGCTGCACCTGAAATTATTTATAATAGTAATAATTTTCATTATTTTATATACCGAAACAAATACAAACTAGATTAGTAAACAATAAACAGACCATACAAAAAAGTTAAAACTTGTACCCACTTGAATTTGTATTCAAATGAAAAAAAAGCTATTGACTTTACCTGTATGATTTTCTTCTCTTGACGAGAAAATCTTCTCACGGAATGAATCGGATTCACACCTGCATAATTTGAGCATAATGTTACTATGCTGTTATCGTGCCACTTGACGATGATAATATTTTTGTCTCCGACCTTTTTATAATCATAATGACCCCTTGCTTTTTTCTTCATGTTCTTCGAATCCGTCAAAGGACTGTTAGTGATCCGATTTTCACGGATGGTACCCGTACCACTGATATCCTTTTCTGTGAGTATTTCTAGGAGAGGTATGGTTGAAAAAAAGTTATCAAAGTAAATATGCATTTTCTCATTTGGCCATCTTTGCTTCAAAACGTCTGTGTACTCTAGAACTACGGACGGGCCCACTCCATAAGCAGCATACTGAAGACTAATATTGGTTGATGCACCTTGATATGGTTCAAACCAATTGACATATCCTAATCAGGTTGCACCCACCCATAGCTTGTACCCGTACCGTATTGGCTTACCATGAATAAATTGCTTACATCCATGGCGACCAAAGTATGGAACCATAGCCTCATCGACACAGTGCATCTCTTCACATGAGCTGTTTTGTAGAAACTTTTTGTTCAGATGAGTAATTAGGGGTCTAACTTTCGCAAATTTATCGGTGACATCTATTTTCGTGTTGTCTGCTAAATGGAAATGAGATAAAATGAATTCGAACTTGTTACGTGACATAGCACCAGCAACTAGCTGATTATGACTATCTCTTTCATACTCCCAGAACATTCGTCTTCTTGGAACTGAAATATACCCACTAAGCAGCAGAATACCAATAAACGCTTTTATTTCATATTTCTCTATTCTAACGTGATGGTTCTTTTGACTTGCATAAAGGTTTGTTTCTCTTACTATGACTTCAATTATTTCCTCATCAAAAAATAGTGAAAATAAGTTCAGACGATTTTCAGAGTTTACTTCATCAGCCTGATCGATGATAGCTGCATTCGAGGCTCCATCACTAGGACTAGGAAAGAGGTCATCGTTTGTCCACTTGTAGCTCTTTTTGGTACCTTTTTACCACTATGTTGTTTTTGTGATTTTTTTTCTCTCAGCTGTATAAGAGGAATTTCGTCTTCCGAAGAAAAGTCATGATCTATTTGGGAAGTACTAGAGCTTACGTCATTATCACGATAACTTATTTCCGCAGGGGCTCGATGTTGGTTTCCGGGTAGGTTATCTATGGAAAATGCATCCTCCTCACCTGAATCTTCATCAGTATATTTTTCCAAATTCATTATCTGGCGGCAAAATTGTCAAGGTCTCTATGTTTTCCGCCATATCTTCGTCCTCATCTAGCATCGCCATGGCTTCCTCCAAAGAAAAGCCTCTGTAATGGAAATGTTCATAGTCGTATAAATGCCCACCGTACTACATATAGGATGCTTCAAAAAAAAGGGTCTAAAGTGACCTTTAGCCTACTTTGAATTGACTTTGACACATTTACATCCATAAATCAGATGTTTATGTACATATTTCAATATATAAACTGAAAACATTTGAACTCTGTAGCAATCAAAATTACTCACCGGGCAAAGCGTACACCATATTCGGCCATGATCACAAATTCGAGGGATCTAAATCGGAATAAATACTCTTCACAACAGTTAGCGTTAGTTTTCTAGCTACATTCATAGTTACCGTTTCTTGCTTGACGGATGTAGGCAACACATAATATCCCTACTTGCGTAACTGGAGTGTGGGGTGCGTTTTTATGGGTGTACTATATGTAGTACAGTGGGCATATCTGGGTTAAGATTGTGTGTCCTTGTACCAAGATTCTAATTTCCTGTTTTGTGAACCCGAGTCATTCAAATGAATTTTGTCGGGTTCCTGAATCATAGAAAATGTAGATCTGTTCCAGTCTGTAACTACGGGCTTGTCCTGATGTTCTTTCAATCTTTTGGATTTGTAGAAGATTAAGAGATTTCTCTCAAGCTACTGAAATGTTACTATGATCATACATTAAAATTTGGATGAAATATTCATATGATATGCTCTTATTGCAAATATGAATTCGAGAGAATGGATATGTACTCCAATTAGCTCTAGCTATGTCAGATTACTAAAGACGCCTTTCTGTCTAGCTCGATGCATACCAAGATTTATTTTGTTCGTCTTTTGATACTTTTATTTTTCTGACACCGAAGAGTGCCAAAGCTGAATGCGTTTCTACATGGAGCACTGACTGAAAACAACTACCATTAATCGAAACCAAAGCTTCACTGCAACGTTGCCAGATTACTCGTTATTTAAATATCTGAAGTGTGGAAGAGCCAAATGGAGTGAATCCCGATCTTTGTGCATATTGACGTCTAATCACAAAGTAAAATTCATATTCCAAAATTTTATCACATTATTGAAGACCGGCAGGGCACGTATCTTGAAGTGACACTATATCGGTTATTTGGGATTATACAGGTTTTTTGTGACCTTATGTAGGATTTTCTTCAAGATGTCAACTTGGCTCCAGCTGTTGTACGCTTCATCTGTACTCGTTCTGTAGCTGTACGTGATGCCTAAACATCATGATGCTTCAGCTATCAATGTTTGACTCTGATTTGATGTAACACCTGCTTCAGAGATGACATTATTGGAGGTCTAAGCTATGACTTGTTTACTATAGATGGAAGGAAATGGCAGTGCATAGTGAGGATTTGTGGGCTAAAAATCGGTAGGTATATGTATTTCTTGGCAGCATGTTCAGTAATAATTTTCTCACATAGCAATTGTCGCTGATTTTATACACTTGCAGACCAATACACACAATCATCCAGATGTGACCTTGTCACGCTGCTCTACTCAACCACACAGCTTCTCAAAGTATTCTGCAACCAACAAAGCATGATGGTGGATTGACTGGCAACTCGCAGCATGGTCATTGACCGAGTCATGTCGTTGAATCATTCCTCCGTAGATGACGCTTTTGATGATGCTCCCAGCGCTCAATCAGCAAGTTGACATTTTACCGTTTATTGCCGTCTTTTTTTTTGCCGATTTATAGGTTTTCTACAGAAATAACCCTGCGGGATAAAGCAAATATCGTTCGTTATAACCATAATTGACCATACCATCAGTCGGACATCATGATTAAGTAAATAGGTACATATATTTGTCCACCTTTAATTATTAATCGTCAATTAGATACGAGGAAACCACGTCCTTATTTGACTAAATGATGACAAATTTCCAAAGAAAAACATTAATATTGGAATATAAACGTTGAGCTTAAAATTCTTGCTTTATACCAATTCCGTGATCGGTTTTTCAAGAATAAATAACATAATAACGGCCTCTCCTAGACGGTTAATCCTTAACTGCTATGGACGGGGCATTATGACTCAATGCTCTGATTCAAAACCACCAATCTTATAGGGGGCTGGTCGGAACGCGTCGTGGTATTGTCCTAGGTATTCTCATATCAGGTGAGTACGCGAGGGACGCTAGCAGCATTCAGTCCATATAAGCTACTGTTTTCAAGTCTATCTTGGGTCATAGTGACCCTACTGAAGTAACAGCCTGCTGCTAGAGCTTGTTTTTAAATTGCAATACCAAAAACATACCAGGAAGCCTAAAGTCATAAAAGCATTGCATTGTTTGGATTTTCAAGAATAATGAAAACGACAAATTCTTTTGGATGAGAGTTACTATCTTACCGTTTCGGCCTCTGGCTTAGTAGCTTTTCTTGGTATTCGCGTGGAACGGCACCTTTAAACAAATATACTAAGTGACATATAAATCCGAACACCGAGTTTAAATGGTTTTATTTTAATAAAATTTTGTATAAGTACTTAATGAAGCATACTAAGTAAATGATAAAAATTTCAAAATGATTGCACTGCTTTAAAGCCCTTTGACCTTTAATAATGTGTGGATGCACCCTGATGTGCTACGCATTCTCCAACGCGCCTAGGCATGCTTCTGATCAGGTGGTCAATGTCCTCCTGTGGTATCTCATTCCAGGCAACCACCAACTCCTCTTGAAGTGCTTCTAGAGTCTGAGGAGGACGTTGCAAATTGAGCAATCTCCTACCCATCATATCCCACACGTGCTCAATTGGGGATAAGTCGGGAGATCTTGGTGGCCATGGTAACAATGTGACATCATTATGTTGCAAGAAGTCTATTGTGACTCTTGCAACATGTGGTCGGGCATTATCTTGTTGAAAGTTGGATCTGGCAGGGTGTCAAGATAGGGTAAAATATGGGGTTCTAGAACCTCGTGGATCTAACGCTGCGCGTTCATGTTACCTCTGATGAAGATTAAAGGTGACCTGGAACCATAAGCTATAGTACCCCAATCCATAACTCCAACAGTGTGATGAACATGTCTTTCAACAAAAAACTGTGGATTCCTCCTTTCACCACGTCGCCTTCTAACCATCGTGCATGCCTAAACAAAATCGAGACTCGTAACTAAAGACAATACTGTTCCATTCCTGATCCCAGAGTGACCGTTGTCTGCACCACTCAAGGCGATTACGTCGGTGTTCTCGAGTTAAAGGGAGGACCCAGTGTGGCCGGTATGAAAACAAGCCAAAACTTCGTCGGTAAACACTTCGCATGCCAATAGGTCTTCCGTGTTCTGCAAACCATTCATTTGCAATGGACCTGGTAGTGGAGAAACGGTCCCTCAAGGCCAATAATCTTAGGCGGTTGTTCTACGGCGGCGTCCAGTGCCCCTTGCTCTTTGCGTACGGCCTTTTCGAAGCCATGCCTGACAACACCTAACCACAGTGTCTACACTTCTTTGCACTCTAACTGCAATTGCCCGAAAAGAAAGTCCAGCTTTCCGAAGTCCCACTATACGGCCCCTATCAAACTCACTAAGTTGACGAAATCGTACAGGTCTCCGTACTCTAGGCATCGTAACCGATCGTAAAGGATGTCAAGAACCAAAATCCGCCAACGTTGATTCTTTACTGCAGCTGAAATATTCATTTTTAGAGCGTTAGTGAATTAACAAAAAGCAGTATAAAAACCGGAATGTCCAACTGATAAGGCTGAAAATTTTTTCACTTGTTATTTACAGTACGATAAACACATTCACCAACTTTTATTAAAATAAAACCATTTAAACTGGGTGTTCGGATTTATATGTCACTTAGTAGTATATTTCAAATAATCTTAATCCTTTGCAGTGACGCTTTAATACCCTTAAGGTTTCATATCACCAGCGCCTTAAACATTCCTTCGAGTCATGGTTACATTTTTAACACATAGGAAGCTAAAAAATAAGTTTCAGGAGAACCTCTAAGCTCTAAGCTATTACAATGCAGTTCAAATAGCAAGTATTCCATTAAGGCAGTAGGAAATAGTGATTCATATGTAATAAAAAGTAACGGTAATACGTATATACATTTCCTGGTATGTCAACAAGCTTTAAAGACGTAATCTTGGGAATAAAGAAAACGAGATGCTATTAGCTAAGCTGCATATAAATGAAATATTATATAATTAAAATTCATTAAACGGCTAATAAAATTATCATATATGTACAACGCTTCGACGAGCTGTTTACTTATGAACGTTACACTGGGGTATTATTATAGTGTAAGAGCCTCCATACCAAGCAAAGCCTACCGTACGACGACAGATGCCAATTCGACACATTCACATACAATATGGGCACTACTAATGGAAAATATGTATGTTTGGACGTTGGTAAATAACACTCTCACTGCTACTAACAGTGTTAGTCAAGCAACGAATTTTATGACTAAAGCTAAAACATTATCAGTGACTAATTTGCAACAGAGTTTCGACCCAACTCGCGGTAGTAGTATTTGAAGGTACGAAAGGCACAAATGGTTGTTGAAGCATTGCTACCATCTACACATTTCTTCTAGCATGATGAAAATGGTAAATTATACATCAAAATATCGAAAATTGAATCTAAAGGCTTATTCAACTAGTTAAGAGGATCGTGAGCAAAATTAAACTAATATAAAGCGATCCAAAATAATGATAATAATTTTGCGAATTTTCTGGTTTGGAAGTCATTCGAATTGTCTATAAAACAATGGAAAATTTCGATTACTACTTTTGATTGAAATATGCCGTACGAATCATCAGATCGCAGTTTAAAGGTCATTTTTTAGTTGTTCGTTAAAGACCGTATTAGTGGGAAAATGATTATGTTGCCAAAAATACTAAAAATTCACATTTTTTTCGTTTAAAACTTTTGAACGCGCCCTCAAAGTGAGCCGCATGATCTAGGAATTTATTAGAATAGATTTTTCAAAGGGTCATGCCTAAACAGGATCTCTTCAAAAAACTAAATTTGGCCCGAAATGTCCCGCCATTCAGTATCAGGAAAATGGTCACTTTTGGTTTAGAATTTCGGGAGTTAAATTCAAGGGATTATTCTATCAATGTATAGGCCTTAGTATAAAATTCCTACGTTCGGAATTAGGCTGCTCTATTTCATTTATGAACAAAAATAGTTTCATACATTTTTTGATTCGGAAGGCATTCAAATTGTCAGCCCAAACAACCAATATAAATTGAAAAAAATACTTTTTTCATTAATATAGTTTAGGGTTTAATCCTTTCCGGTATAAGAGAAGCGAAAATGAAGACGTTAGGTGCGTCCCCACCCGAACCGATCGACCTAGAACCCCGAAAAAAAGCCTCATGCCTTCATAGGCACTCCCCAGGAACAAAATTTGAGCCGGATCTGGGATGCGACCCACCAAGCCACGTGGTGGAATTTTAGCTTAGACCCAATTTCATTTACTCTGTAGGTACTCACCTATCCCCTTATGTCCAATGTGCAACAGATTAACGGGTATTACGTATCTTGAAAAGTAACATTATGTAAATTTTTTGACATTATGTTGTTTTTTTCTACAAGTGTCAACTTATCTCTAATTAGTAATTACACCCAACGCGGGCGCGGTGGTATTTCCCGTAATTCTCCTGAAATTTTTTGAAAACACAAAAAAAGGAAGAATTCGTAATTTATGTTATAAGTTTGAACATAACCTGTCTTCACAAAGGACAACCTATAAATAACCCGTCGGGTACGGCTAATAGATACACTGGCAGCATATTCAGCAAATATCACTGATTTTATACACATGCAGACCAATACACACAATCATCCAGATGCGATCTTGCTATTCAACCAACTTTCTTCTCAGAGATGGAAATTATATACTACTCGGCTTCACAAAACATATGCAACCAACAATGCGTGTAGTTGAGCTATTCCTCCATAGATGGACGCTCACAAAGATCCTAGTGAGCAAACGTGGAATACTGTTCGCACCATACAAATTACCTAGTCTGCAAGACGACATTTTACAGGTTTTTTGACGTTTTATAGTGTTTTTACATAACACCCGTGTGGATCAACATCTAGAGACGTACACACCTCACGCAAATTTCATTCGTTGACATATGGTGGAGATTACGCAGTACATGAGATTTACAATTTTCAGCTGCCTTTGTTGGTATGAAATCAAGGGAGTGTGTATTTTAGTTGAATCTACACATTCATTCAACATGAAAGCAGCAAAAAAAACTTACGTAAACGTAAAAGTAGTCATTCACGCTAGAGTATTTCTGACATCATTGACCAACGAATTCCGATTAGGTAGAGGGAGCAAGCATGCAATTTGTTTTGTCCGACGAAACCCTAGTCAGCAGTCAGGATGTAAGTGCATACAAGTGGATTGTTGACTTTTCGCATTAAATCCATATGTTTCTGTGAGAGTGTATCAAAGTGCCTGGTTTTCCATATAGATCTAGTGTTTCAGACAGTTGCCTAAAATGTTAAAGGTTTCTGCAAAGCAAAAGTTTAGGTCCAACAAAAGCAGTTTTTTATCGGTACATTAGGGCTGAGAGTCATCGGCGTTGCGAACATTGGCATACGAAGGCAGTGGAAAGATAATCTTCACTTTTGTCATTCCAGTATTTTTAGTACTGAATTTCAATCAAAGGTTTGCTAAGAAAGTCTAACATAGAAAAGTAGGATTAGAGACAAACCAGAATTTCAGCTTTAAGTAAACATTCTTCCATTTTGGATCTAAAAGTTCTTAGGAAAGGTCGTCATTTTCGCATTCACCCATTTCATCGCAATGATATTTTGTTAAGGAACCTCAGCACGACACAGAAAATCTATTATATCAAATTATTTAAATCGCTTCTTTTAATTCGATCAATAGAATGATAGCGATATAACAGCAGTGATTGTCGTATAGTGTGCATCTAAATATTTGTGTTTAGCCACGAATCTGCTTGATTTGTATCCTAATTTTCCAAAATCATGAATTAATCTAGAATTGTTGGTTTGCTATTCATATATGAATTATTTATTTTTTGCCCTGCTGTACGGAAGCACACCCAGTCCGATTAGCTAGTTGAATATTCTTTCTAAAGAAAATAATGATTGCCGCCGATTATTAACTTCTTACCTTGGTAGACAAATCAAGCCATGTTCTTACATCTTACCCCATTTAAATTCATTGATTATACGCGACTTCTATCTACCCGTACCACTTTTCCTTGGTGAATTCTAGTATGGCCCACCCTATTTTGAGTGTAGATCGAAGCATGCTTTGACGAGCATATAGCTTTTGAGCGCACGTGAGGATGTACAAAAGCGAAAGAAGCATGGCAACACAGCCTGCGCATCTCTGCTGAAACAATGCTTGGGATGGGTGGGATTTTTGTATTATTTTTTAATTCCGTGAATGTACGATGGAGAGGAATACAGCCTGCGACAGAAAGGTCTAGACGATTAAAAAATTTGTATACAATATCAAAGGCGACCTTTGCGTAGACGTATAATGTGAGCAAACATTTGCTCAAGCAAAACGCGCATAATGATAGTAGGATAATTACAGTGCTCTGAAAACTACTTTCATAACACAAACGACAGGGTGGGCCTTAGATTTGTGTGTAGGAAGGAGTTTGTATCAAGATAATGATAGCGAGACGATAAAAGAACGAGTGTAAGTTACTATTACGAGGACAAGCAATAGTACGTCTGTGATCGCATTCAAAGCTTTCCAGGGCAATTATGTGAATAACGAATAAACGGTTTCCGCAAAAGTAAACGCTTAAACGTTTTGTCAATTTTCACGGGTACACATTCTAGGTTATATTTATATTATGATTATTGCATTTCAAAACTTCCCGAGTGACACATGTGTGGGATCTGTCAACCCTTGGTCCCAGTCACAAAGCATATACTCTGAAGAAGGTTTAATTCCATGCTATTCAATGACAAAACGGTGATTTACGTGGTTGTCAGCGGTCATTTTTTGAGGGTGCGACATGGTTGCCAGATTGTACATTAACATCCCGTTTCTCCCCCCTGGACCCAGTGGAGTAAGCTCCGCCAACTGTTGAAATATACTCTACTATGCTTTATAAGACTATTCATGGATTTTTTCCCAAAATCGTTGCAGTGCTTACGATACTTTTCGTGGATCTAAACATGCCTAATCTTGACAGCTTGTCGTTCTTATCAACTGGGCTGCAGGATGCGGTGTTGCCTTTACTATCTTACATTTTGCTAAAATCTTATGACAAATAAAAGCTTCAAATGAAATATTGACGAATATGAACGGATATGCCTAGAATTTAGAATATAAATTCATATTGCAAATTTCAGATTGTCTATGCATGGACTTCAAAATAATTTAAATATTTCTATACTTGCCGAAAAAAAGCTGAAACCAAAAATAAATCTAGAAGTTAATTTTCTGTAGTCTTCGTAGTTTTATGCCCCATATCAATCAAACATATGCATAAACACTCAGGCAGTTGGGCACATGGGAGGGATAGATTTTGGGTTGCCTATGACTACGAACGCACATCCTCATCCCTTACCCCACTTGCACTGGCTTGATTTTTGTGCATACAAGATGTAAAGACTGACACCGGACAAGCAATAAATAAACCAAAACCAGCCTGTTTAAATATATACAAAACTATAAGCAAGAATCGAAAAAGGAGTTTCTAGAATGGTTGCAAAGTACTTTGAAAGAACGACCAGTATGCACATTGTAGAAGTTGTAATATAGAACTATGCCCTCAAGAAACATGTTGTATGCGCGCCCAATACAATAACAGACGTTTTTCATGACTCAAAGGTCCTTGATCTACCACTGATCTTGGGACGGCATTTACGTTATACCAAATTCAAGGACACTATTTGCCGATTCCGTTTTTTTTTGCTGGTTCGGCAACACTGCAGATGTGCAGTTCACTTTAGTTAAAAGCAATATCCCAGACGTGTTATCCCTTTCGTCCCGAACGGTACCCATATGTACCAGGCAAATTTAAAAATCCCTGCTTGTGAAATGAAGCATTTTATTTGGTATAAATCTGTACCGGTCCGGTGTATCAGGCTTCCCCAGTGTACCTACAACATGCATTGTGGATATTTTGTGATTATGTCGATTTAGTTAGCACGTGTATGTAGTAGCGGCAGTATTACTCTAAGAAAATTAGTTATTTAGGACACTCAAAGTGCTTATTTATGCAGTTTTTTGATGAAGTTCTATTTGCTATTCAACTGTAATTAGTGTTTTTACAAAGGTAGGTCAAAACTATGTTTTATTTTTGTTTTTTTGCGTGTAATATTCATGTGGTACATATATGTACCATCCGGTATTTATGGTGGTACACATGTATACCAACAGGTCTCTAATTACGTTTATTCAGTTTCAGCTTCAATATGGATCGCCGCCATACGCTTGCACAAAAAGAGCTGGAAGCGCTTATTGAAGATATTGAAGAAATCTCAGATTCGGAACCATTTTCTGCTGACTCCAGTGACAATTATGAACCAGATTCCGATGAAGAAGCAGGCAGTGATACGTCCGATATGTCTAACTCAGACATCCATTTTGCGCCTTCACCACAGGTAACTGTTGGTAGAAACCAAGTTCTTGACTGGGTCATTCCTGATGAAACATTTGAGCCTGCTAAAATCCTTCCTTCTAAAAGAGAATGTAAGCTGGCTCCAGATATCACAAGCAGTTGACACCTATGCAGATTTTTCATAAAGTATTTCCTCATTCTCTTTATTTGCACATTGCAAATTGTACAAATGAACGCCTAAAAATCATAAACCAATTAAAAAGGAGGAATGAGAACATGACAAAGGAGAAATACAGAAGTTAATTGGCTGCATGTTCATTATGTGCTACAATCGCCTTCCAAGCCTGAAAAATTATTGGAGTAAAAAGGAGTCAATGGGAAATAGCACAATTGAAAAAACTTTTTCAAGAGATCGATACATGACTTTGAGCTCAAAAATGTACTTTGCTTCTCCTCAGAAACCCCCAAATGCTTCAAAAACATGATATTGAAGATTTGTTATCTTGTTTCAAATACACGTTTTCAAAGTGTCGCCAGGATAGCCAGTATCAAAGTATGTATTGACGAATCTGTGACCAAATTCAAGGGTCGATCTTTGAAACAATATATGCCCCTCAAACCAACCAAGAGGGGCATAAAACTATGGCTTCCCTGCGATGCAGATTCGGGCTATACGTATGATGTTAATGAGTATTCTGGAAAAGAGGACCCAATTCCCGCCAAAAATCAATCACTAACTCTGGGAGAGCGAGTCGTAACAGCCGTTGCGTTTACAGTCAAAGAAAATAATGTAGTGTTATGTTTTGATCGCTTTTTTTACAAGTGTGAATTTGTTACTAAAACTAGACTATGCAGCCTTGGGAACTTACATGTCCAATCGCAAGAACGTACCAACTATGGGAGACAAGCTGCAAAAAGGGGAATCTCAATTCAGATGCACTTCTACGGGATTACTTTATGTAAAGTGGCAGGAAACAATCTAAGTTTTGCTGATGAGTAACTGTCATAAGCCCAATTTGACAACAATTATCAAAAAAAGCAAAACCGGTGAACAACAAAATATCCAATGTCCAGAGGCCATATCTTTTTACAGAAAAAGAATGCAAAGGGTTGAACGGGCAGATCAATTCATTGGTCATTGATCATGACCGAAAATCAGCAAAGTGGTGGAAAAAGTTGAAATGAGACGTAAAAATGAGAATATTTATTTTCTTTCTTTCCTCACTACACTTGCAGAAGAATTAATATCTGAAGGTATACAAAATACAAGCTTACCATTACCAAAACAAGGCCTTCAAGAAAAAGAAAATTATATAGTGCATCATCATTACATCTTCCTGTGGAGGGATCAACAAGAAGAAGATCCACTAGATGTTCTGAAGAGAAAAAACAAACAAGAACAAAACTCTTTGCGAGGAGTGCAATATTCCATTGTGCAAGTTCTGTTTCATGTTGTATCATACCAAGTAGTTATTTAGGTTCATTTTCTTCTTTGCAAAGCTGTTTTTGTATTTTTTTCTGAATAAATATTCTTATACCATTATTTTTTCTGTTTTTATGAATTTTCCGATCATACGTGTTGGTACGCATGTGTACCACCATAAATACCTGCTGGTACATATATGAACCACCCCCTCCACCGTTACCTGACCAATGAAAAAAATATATATTAATAAAAACTCATTGTAAGACATCCTAACAATAATAGTTTACACTGTTCATTATTTGGACTAAGGTATTTGAATTCATGGACGAAAGGGTTAAAATAATAGAAATAAGAAAACAAAACTATGTTTGGAGATATGTATTCATAAATAGGTATTTTTGATTATGACTTATGATATCTAGACGATTTATAATAGGTGTATGCGGATACTTTTACAAATATCGATGTTTTAGGACCGAGAAATGCTGAATGTGCTGTTTGTTTACATTTAGTGTGGATTTCTAGATCATAAATTGGCAAAAATTGTTTTTGATGTAACAAAAGATGATGAACCAGTTGGAATACGTTTTATATCCTTTTTTTGCAAAATAAAAATCGGTACATTTCTACAGGTACGTATTTTGTACAACACCCTGTACGAGATATACAGACAAAACTAGATTGCCGTGCATGAACAGTCGTCAATAACAGTGAAAACATCCTACCAAATATAATAGCTAGAAAGTCGACCAATTATTTGCCGCATTCCCATTGGTCCCAGTTGAATAACTGACCCTCGTTTGTGAAACTGGAAATTCTATGAAAGTTATCCTAATTCTAAAGCACAAAGACATAATATTACATCTGTAATGTACCCTTATTTATAAGGCAACCATTTTTTCACGACTTTATTCAACATTTCAATAGGAATCACTGATATTCCGAGACCTTTGACAGCTTCTGTCAAATTGCATTTCGATAATCTATTTTCCCATTTGTCCAAGGGACCGTCAAATATTAATGTTGGTGAAATTGGGCCTAAAAGTAACTATGAGATCGCTCGAATTCTTCGATCAGAGTATGTGGTCAAGTGGAGTAATTCGAGGCGATCTTCACAGGTGGCTCTGAGAGCTCGCAGTTGGATTCGAGTTGCCCGACGCGGCACTGCTTCAATTAGATTTCTGTCGCGCACGAGTACAGTTTCTCACCAGAAAATTTGAGAATTGGCCTAACAAATTTTTTGTAAATGAAGGGGCAACTGCTGAGAAATCCTTTGAAAGACCTCTCCAGCATGTATAGAAGTTTTTTGGCTTTGGTTAGTATGACCAGAGACCGCTTCGATCAGAGATCTTGTTACTAGCCGCGGATTGGTTTTCCCTAGGTGTAAGACACAACACTTTGAGGGTAGAAGCTAAGAGTCTGACCATTGACGAACAACGTCAAGATCACGATGAAGCAGGGCAGGGTATGTAACTATGTTGTAAAACTTCGTGTCATAGGCAGAACATGTGGAGGACAGCAAGTCTGGCAGATCGCTTGTGTACAAAAGGAAACGCATGCGACCCAAGACTGAGCCTTGCTGTACGATGGAGGAAAAACTGGCTACCACTGACGCGAACAGAAAAAGTACTCCTGGGACCTGATTCTAAATGGATTTCAGCCGGTGAAATTAATTTCGATGGCGCCTTGTGACGATATACTCGATTGGCTATGGTAAGTTTGACATCTAATTAAATAGATATCCTATATCCAAATTGTCATGGCAGTGTCAAAATTATCATAGCGAATCAAGTGTATGGTCACCAGGCGTTATCGAAATGAACGATCGAAACCCATTTAGAATCAGGCGCCTGGTGAGGAAAAAACCTAGATCCACTGCATCAACTCGCCTCTAGTTGCAAGACGCTCGACTGTTACAATTTTTTACATTGACCTAATGCAACTATCTGAGCAACTTAGAACAGGAGAACCGACTTCATTCTAAGCCCATAATATTATATTAAACTCCTGCTCATAATTACAAGAGACGATTATGTGTAGTACAAACAATTTCAGGCTTTCAAATAACTCAGGTTCAATCACATTACAGATACATGGAATATTTAGTATTTATAGATCATTTGTAATAAACTCCGTTTGTAATGATTTTACCCAAAGGCTGCATTTACCTGGAAATGCATTAGCCTGAATTTGTTGCTTAATACCCAGCTTAATGTGCTGTTGGCGTATTGCTTCAAAATCAGATGCATCAACTCTGAAATGTAAATGCATACAGGGTGAGTCTAAAAATAGCAGTAGCAGTTCGTATAATCAACAGTCCTAAAATACCCAAAGAACTCGGAATAGGCAGAGGGAGCAAGTACACGATTTGCCAAAAATTATTTCATCCGTATTCAGGATGCAGGTTCATACTACATCGTCTCTGAAGTAATCAGGATAATCTTGATTGCAATATTTCCCTTCTCAAGCCTGTAAAAGGTTGAGGACTTTTCTTCATTAAAGCGGCGTTATAACATAAGATCTTCGTCAACCGAAAATAAAGATTACTCGAAGTTGAACAGGTATTTTTATGCGCAAGTCAGCATCAGTGAAACCCTCCTGCTTGGATTAGATACTTGAGGTACCACACACACCGTCACAACATTAGCAGCTGTTCGATATTAATGATAACTTTCGTAACTTGGAGTGACGTCATTATAGCTGGTAGTATCTTTTCGCAGAAAAGTTTTAACTCTTAGCGTAAAATAATATTTTCTTCAAATAAATCGTTTCAACTATACTAAGTGACATATAAATCCGAACACCCAGTTTAAATGGTTTTATTTTAATAAAACTTTGTATAAGTACTTAATGAAGCATAATAAGTAAATGATAAAGATTTCAAAATGATTGCACTGCTTTAAAGCCCTTTGACCTTTAATAATGTGTGGATGCTCCCTGATGTGCTACGCATTCTCCTACGCGCCTAGGCATGCTTCTGATCAGGTGGTCGATGTCCTCCTGTGGGATCTCATTCCAGGCAACCACCAACTCCTCTCGAAGTGCTTCTAGAGTCTGAGGAGGACGTTGCAAATTGAGCAATCTCCTACCCATCATATCCCACACGTGCTCAATTGGGGATAAGTCGGGAGATCTTGGTGGCCATGGTAACAATGTGACATCATTATGTTGAAAGAAGTCTATTGTGACTCTTGCAACATGTGGTCGGGCATTATCTTCTTGGTAAGTTGGATCTGCCAGGGTGCCAAGATAGGGTAAAAGATGGGGTTCTAGAACTTCGTGGATATAACGCTACGCGTTCATGTTACCTCTGATGAAGATTAAAGGTGACCTGGAACCATAAGCTATAGCACCCCAAACCATAACTCCAACAGTGTGATGAACATGTCTTTCAACAAAAAACTGTGGATTCCTCCTTTCACCACGTCGCCTTCTAACCCTGGCACGACCATCGTGCATGCCTAAACAAAATCGAGACTCGTCACTAAAGACAATACTGTTCCATTCCTGATCCCAGAGTGACCGTTGTCTGCACCACTCAAGGCGATTGCGTCGGTGTTCTCGAGTTAAAGGGAGGACCCAGTGTGGCCGGTATGAAAACAAGCCAAAACTTCTCATTCGTCGGTAAACACTTCGCATGCCAATAGGTCTTTCGTGTTCTGCAAACCATTCATTTGCAATGGACCTGGTAGTGGAGAAACGGTCCCTTAAGGCCAATAATCTTAGGCGGCAATCTTCACGGTCTGTTGTTGTACGGCGGCGTCCAGTGCCCCTTGCTCTTTGCGTACGGCCTTCTCGAAGCCATGCCTGACAACACCTAACCACAGTGTCTACACTCCTTTGCACTCTAACTGCAATTGCCCGAAAAGAAAGTCCAGCTTCCCGAAGTCCCACGATACGGCCCGTATCAAACTCACTAAGTTGATGAAATCGTACAGGTCTCCGTACTCTAGGCATCGTAACCGATCGTAAAAGGATGTCAAGAACCAAAATCCGCCAACGTTGATTCTTTACTGCGGCTGAAATATTCATTTTTAGAGCGTTAGTGAATTAAAAAAAAGCAGTATAAAAACCGGAATGTCCAACTGATAAGGCTGAAACTTTTTTCACTTGTTATTTACAGTAAGATAAATACATTCACCAACTTTTATTCAAATAAAACCATTTAAACTGGGTGTTCAGATTTATATGTCACTTAGCATATTTGTACTACGGACTACCATAAGAAGATACAGTAAAACTAAATTATCGCATTTTCTGTAGGACGTGGAAGGTTGAACAAGTGGCATATGAGCAAGGCACACGTCAAAAGTTTTGTAAGTGGGATTGAAACCACCAAGCCTTTATGTTCATGATACGTTATTGTTTTCGTCCAACCATCTACAATTTAAATTCGAACTAAATGCAGGCCGTAGGGTAGACCCGTATTCTTGTTCTGATGGTGTTGACAGGCATATATGAATTGATTATTCCAGCCATCCTTATCGTTCTGAATTTTTTATATGCCCACACTTCCAGGGCAAACATGCTACACCTGTGCCCAACACAATAATGAATTAAAGATGAAGAAATGGCCGACATACAATGGCATCTATTATTGTCGGTTATTGATGCGACGGATATTGGACCTGTTATTATGTTGTCGAAAATAACTTGCTCGAATTGTGAGTGAAAGAGACACTAGGGACCCATAAACGAGACATTTCGGGTGTCGCAGATTGGTTGATATTCCGATAAATATAAGCAAGTTACATCAAATCTACAACTGAAAAATGCCTACAGACAAAGTGGTTTTGTGTTTTCAGTTGCAAAGATACTGCGCGGTATTCAGTTAACAAAAGGTACTAGCTAAGCAGACAACTTCCCTTTTTCTTCGGAAGCTGCTGCATATGAAGTGATGTCAAGTGCGTGCAGGAAGAGTGGTTAACAGGAACGATGAGCTGAAAATGGGTCCTTGGGGATTAGCTGCAGATACCGCTACACAAATTCCGTCCATTCTGATATACTATATAGACGGACTTAACACGACCGGATCTCATACACAGTCATCGA